CGGCTCTACCCGCCCCAGTTCAGCCCTATGGCGGCTTCACCACGCCGCAGGTTTCCCCGCCATGAGACTATGCAGCTCTGCCCGCCCCGGTTCAGCCCTACGGCGGCGTCACCACGCCGCAGGTTTCCCCGCCATGGGACTATGTGGCTCTGCCCTCCCCGCCGATGGTCGGCGGCTACGCTCCGCCCACCCCGATTCAGCCCTACGGCGGCTTCACCTCACCGCAAGTTTCCCCGCCATGGGACCCTACTCCTTTGGCTGCCCTGCACTCGGCCCCGTCACCAAACAACTACGGCGCCGACGGAGATTGGTACATGGACTCGGGCACCACCGCCCACATGACATCTCATTTCGGCACCCTAACTTCCTCCACTCCAGTTCATACTTCGACTCGCATCACCGTCGGTGACGGTTCCTCTTTACCTATCACCCATGTTGGTCATACTTTATTTCCATCCACATCTATGCCACTCACCATGTCTAATGTTCTCGTTTCCCCTGATTTAGTCAAGAATCGTGTTTCTGTTCATCGTCTTGCTCGTGAGAATCCCATTACTATTGAATTCGATGATGTCGGTTTTTTTGTGAAGGACGCTCGTACCCGGATGGTTATCCATCGATGTGATAATCCTGACGAGCTCTACCTAGTACACTCCTCCCCACCACCTCCACCACTCCAGTCGCTCTCGCCGCAGGTGTCAACCTTTAGCATGCTCGTTTGGGACACCAGAACTCCACCATTTTGCGTCAAATTCTTAAGAGTTTTTCATTCTCATGTTATAAGATCGACAATCATACTTGTGAGGTTTGCTGTCTCGGCAAGCATGTTCGTCTTCCTTTTAGCGCGTCACCACAATTTCCACTTTCCCATTTCAACTACTTCATAGTGATGTTCGGACATCTCCAGTTGCAAGTAACATGGCCTATCTCTATAATTTGGTGATCTTAGATGACTTTTCTCATTATGTGTGGACATTTCCTCTTCGTCGCAAATCCGATACCTCAGCCACGCTCACGACATTTTATTCCTATGTCACCACACAGTTCGATCGCCCCGTACTTGCACTCCAAACCGATAACGGAAAAGAATTTGACAATATCACCGTTCGAGATCTTCTTGCTTCTCACGACACCATTTCCCGCCTAACATGTCCCTACACTTCACAGCAAAATGGCCGCGCTGAGCGCATCCTACACACTCTCAATGATTCCCTTCGCACATTACTCTTTCACTCTAATGTCCCTCCCAGGTTCTGGCCTGATGCTCTCGCCACCGCCACTCTTCTTCTTAACATTACACTGTGTCATCCCCGCTGGAACTACGCTCCTCACCAACTCCTCTTTGGTACGCCTCCATCATATGATGACCTTCGCACATTCGGGTGTCACTGCTATCCTAGCATCGCATCTACCGCCCCCACAAACTCGAACCACGATCACTTCCTTGCATCTTCCTTGGCTACCCTTCCAACACCAAGGGTTACCGGTGCTATGACCCAGTTTCCCACCGTGTGCACACCTTACGGCACGTGTACTTTGACGAGAGGGTGTTTCCTTTTCACTAGGTACCACCGCCTGTAGTGCCTTCAGCGGAGCCGCTCGCCGCACCCCCAACATGGCGCGAGTCCCAGTCGTGGCCCACCACCGCCTCTCCGATTCGGCGGCTGCACCCCCCTCCACCATCGGCCGTGACTCACTCCGCAACCTCTTCAGGTGCCGCTGCCATGGTCGAGTCATACCACACATCTCCCTCGGGTGCCTCGGCTGGCGCCCTTCCTCGAGACCGGCGGACGATGACATCACGGAAGCCGGCGCTGCTGCTGCTGCTGCCGGCGCTACTGCCGGTGCTGCTGCTGCTGCTGCCGGCGCTACTGCCGGTGCTGCGGGCGGTGCTTCTGCTGCCTCCATAGCTGGCTCGCCTGCCAACTCCTCTGCGACGGGCTCGACTCCACCCTCGCCTGTCGCCCCTCCCGTCCCGGCTACTGCACCGCCCCTTGGTGTGATGACACAGGCCCAGGCCAGCATGCACTGGCCGACTACGCGCTACACTTTGAACGAGTACATGTGTACCGTTTTGACATCGACACCATCAGCCATTCCCTCCTCCGCTCGCGCAGCCCTTCGCAATCTTCATTGGTTTGCGGCGATGCGGAAGGAGTTCGACGCATTGTAGCGCAACCGCACGTGGCATCTTGTTTCGCGGCCTCCCCATGCCAACGTCATCAGTGGCAAATGAGTGTTCCACCACAAGACATGTCCGGATGGATCTCTCGAGCGCTACAAAACTCGTTGGGTGGTCCATGGATTTCCACATCGTGTGGTTGTGGACTTCACCAACAACTTTGCCCTGATTGTCAATTCGAGCACGATTGCACCATCCTTCAGTTGGCGGTCTCTCACGCTTGGTCAGTGCATCAGTTGGATGTCTCCAATGCTTTCCTGCATGGCCACCTTACCGAGCAGGTGTTCTATAAACAACCCACTGGCTTCGTCGACACCGA